TGGACCTTTTAAGAGGAGTTGAATCCTCTTCTTCGTTGATATGCTCTTGATGCAGTAGATCATTTATTTATATTTATTGAATTTTTAGGTACCGTGATCTAATTATTTGGGAGCTTTTTGGACTTTCTTTATTTGTCGCTACTGTTCGACTAGAGGTATATTGTTCTCCTTTATTTTATCCCTCTATTTATTTTAAAGTTATTTTTCTGTCACGGGTGCCCTCATATTGTTGTTGATATGACTACTACTGAGGGACTTGAGACCCTACTGTTGACACATCTATCATTGAGACATGTATTGGTACTTTCACTTTTATGTTTGACCAGTATACAGTACCTACTAGCACAGTTGCATTACCAGCACTGCCGGACATGATCTATCAGAAAGTTACGGCACAGTTGTTGAATGACCGTAACTTCGCTGAGTGGTCTCGCTCATTCCAATTTTTCTTAGGCTGTGTAGGGAAGCTTGGTTGGCTGACGGGATCTCACCCAAAGCCAGTTGATGCCGACCCTAGATATCCTGTGTGGTTCTCTGAGAACTATGCCATTCTTGGATGGTTATTTGGCTCAATGAAGCCATCTATTTGCAAGATTCACCAGTTTCATAGTTCTGTTCCGAAGCTATGAAGCACATTATCAGAGATGTATTCCCAGTCAGGACGGGGAGTACGTGTTTATGAACATTCTCAGGAGCTTTCATATGCTCGGTAGGGAGACATGACTGTTTAGGATTATTATGACTATTTGACCCAGCGCTGGCTTGAGTATGAAACTTTACGTCCTCTTGCTGCTATTCCGAGGGTAGAGCCCGAGGGAGCAGCATTCTTGCATACTCGAGAGCAAGAAGATAGGATTCACAAGTTCCTTACGGGGCTTCGTGATGAGTTTGAGGGACCTCGTTTCCAGATCTTGTCAATGTTGACGCTTCCTTTCTCTTTATAAGGTGTATGCGATGATTGAGCAGCATGAGCGCCGCGTCCGTATTGCATCACTTCTAGTTGCGGCCTTGACTCCTCTACCTGATCATATGACCCTTACAGCTGCTGCAGGGTCTCGTTCAGGATCCTCAGTTAGGGGTGGGTAGCGCTTGGACCAACGCCGTCAGGGTGCCCCAGTTTAGCGCAAATAGGAGAATTCTCGTCAGTGTGATTATTGTGGTCGACCAGGACATCTCAAGGCTACTTGCTGGAAGCTCCATCTAGAGCTTAAGCCGTCTTCTCACGGTCGTACTGCTGCTTTTGCTGAGGTACCACCACTTACTACCGCTACTCCTACTACTGCTCTACCTTGACAAAGTGATATGGATGCTATCACTTCTCGATTGGATATACTTATGTCCGCTCTGACTTCTCAGAGTCCGACTACTGCTGCTGTCACCATTACAGGTATACCTCGTGCCTATCATGCTTGTGCTAGTCTGTCTCCCTTTTTCATGCTGGACTCGGGTGTGAATGGTCACATGACAGGTGAGGCCCATCACTTCACCAGTTTTGATGAACAGTTACATACACAGGTTCAGTTAACCGATGGGACACATGCCCCTATTATTAGTAGGGGCACAGTTCGCTTCCCAGATGGCTTTACATTACGTTCGATTTTTTATGCGCCAAAATTGGCCATAAATCTATTATCTGTACATCAGTTAGCCAGAGATTTTCACTGTGCGGTTGTGTTTTTATTTGATTCGTGTTATTTGCAAGACCTGAGTACCAGGAGGATTATTATCAGGGGACATGAGAGAGATGGACTGTATTATCTAGGCGATTCGCCTCCGATTTCATCAGTTCCTCCACCTACATCACCTGCACCTACTTTGTCTTTATTTGTTCCTAACTTGCATGCTAATATTTTACCTAGTAATTGTCGTTATGATTTTTCGTCACAAATTGTTCAGTTGTGACATGACCGTTTTGGACATATAAATTTTAAATATTTATGTATGTTGTTTTTTACTTTGAGTAATGCTTGTGTTGATGGTAAACTTGACTGTGTTATACGTTCCCTATCAAAACACGTTAGGACCAGTTATATTCCTCGCATGCACCAGTCACCCAAGCCATTTGACCTAATACACAATGATATTTTGGGACCCTTTCTTGTTATTGCTCTGTTAGGTGCCCGATACTATGTGACATTTATAGATGACCATACTCGTTGTACTTGGGTCTACCTTTTGCATAGAAAATCTGATGTACTCCCTATAATCACTCAGTTTCTATAGATGATTAAGACACAATTTGATGTCATTGTTTGTGCACTTCGTTCTGATAATACCAAAGAATACGTGTCTGATGCCTTAGTGTCTTACCGTTCTTCTCAAGGTATCCTTCAGCAATTCACTTGTCCATATACTCCTAAGCAAAATGGCATTACTGAAAGGAAAAGTAGGAATCTGATAGGGATGATACGTTGTATGTTTAAAGGCATGGGGGGTGCCAAAATTTTATTGGTATTTTACTGTTTTGACTTCTACCTTTCTGTGCAATCGTACGTCGAGTCGTGTTCTTCAACATAGGGCTCCCTTACAGGTTTTATTTCCTAAGCGAACACTTTTTTCGATCCCCTCTCGTGTTTTTGAATGCACATGTGTTGTTCAGGATCGGTCTCCTACTCATTATAAGCTTGATGATAAAGCAATTCGTTGTGACTTTGTGGGCTATTGTCATCAGTCTAAGGGGTATCAGTGTTATGATCCTGTTAGACGTCGTATGTATCACAGTCTAGATGTTACATTTCTTGAGCATATTTCTTATTTTTCTTCCAGTCCTGTGTTTGCCCCTCCAGTTGATGATACTTCATTTAAGTTTCCATTACCCTTGGAGCTAGAGCTATTGTTCACTATCACTACAGAGTCGTCGGTCTCTCCTCCTTCGGAACCACTCATCCCTGGTACAGAGTCACCGGCCTTTCTTCCTTTGCAGGCTTATGTTCGTTGCCCTAGCTCTCATCCCCCTGTGGATGTCCCCTCTATCTCAGGCAATGCAGGTAATACTTCTCAGTTTGTTGAGCATATTGATACACTTGTTGTTAGTCCTGATGAGATTGTAGGTACTGAGTTAGTTGTTTTACCTGATAAGACATTGTCAGTAGAGGATGATGATTTAGAGCGTTGTTATCCATAGCGTGATCGTCATCCAGTTGTTCGTTATGGTTGGACTGTCAGGATTTTATACCCGATCTCTGCTTATGTTTCTTATGGTGACCTGTCTCCTACATTTCGGGCTTATAGTATAGTCTTATTAGATACGCCGGTTCCTTGCTCTATTTCAAAGGCTATGAAGGAGCCCCAGTGAATTCTTGCTATGCAGACAAAGATGAACGCTCTTCAACGTAATCATATGTGAGATCTTGTCTTTTTACTTTCAGGGGTGAAGCCTGTTGGCTGTCGCTAGGTTGACACCTTGAAGTTTCTTACGGATGGTACGATTGATCGTCAGAAGGCTAGACTTGTGGCGAAGGGCTTTACTCAGGTACCAGGTTGCGATTTTGATGTTATCTTTGCCCCATGCAAAATTGACTACTGTTCAACTAATTATTTCTCTGGTTGCGGAGTACTCTTGGTCTCTTAATCAGTTGGATGTGAAGAATGCATTTTTTCACGGTGATCTGGACGAGATTATTTATATGGATGCACCACCGGGCTTTCGTGGTGAGGATGAGTATGCTGAAAAAGTATGTCGACTGCGTAAGTCTCTTTATGGACTGAAACAATTACCACGAGCCTGGTTCTCTCGCTTTAGTGATGTAGTTATACGTTTAGGGTTTAACAAATGTCATTCTAATCATATATGCTTCATTCGACAGAATACTTCTGGACAGTGTGTCATCATTTTGGTATATGTTGATCATATTATTATTACTGAAAATGATATTTTTGGGACTGCGCAGGTCGAGGTAGACCTTGGGAAGACCTTCGATGTGAAGGACTTTGGATTTTTGCGATACTTTCTTGGGATTGAGGTTGCCCGTAGCAACAGAGGTATTATTCTTTCTCAAGGAAAGTATGTTCTGGATCTTCTCTCAGACACTGGGATGCTAGGGTGCAAATCGACATCATCACCCATGATTCCAAATCTGAAGCTAACTGCTGAAGCTAAGGAGTTGAGAGATCCGTCTGTTTATCAGAGGTTGGTAGGTAGACTTATCTATCTAGCTAACATTGGGCCAGACATTTCATTGGCTGTCAGCCGAGTTAGTCAGTTCATGCACATACCATGTCAGTCTCATCTTGATACAGTTTATCATATTCTTCGGTACCTCAAGTCTTGTCCTGGACTTGAGTTGTTCTATGCATCAGGATCTCAAACTGGTTGTTTAGTCTGTTATTCAGATTTAGATTATGGAGGAGCTTGTGACAGTTGATCTACTACAGGCTTCTATGCTTTTCAAGGGACTCATCTTATCTCTTGGAAGAGCAAGAAGTAGTCAGTTGTCTTTCGCTCGTTAGCAGAGACAGAGTATCAGGCACTGAAACTTGACACATGTGAGATTATCTGGCTACGATCGATTCTTGACGAGTTGGGATTTTCAGTGACTTCTTCATCTACATTATATTGTGATAATCGATTTGATATTCAACTTGCTTCTGACTCTGTATTACATGAAAGGACAAAGCATGTAGAGATCGATGTTAACTTTCTTCGGGAAAATGTTAGTAGTGGTATTGTCACTCCATCGTTTGTGAGGACCAGTGATCAAGTTGCAGATACTTTTATTAAACCTATCACTCTATCCATTTTTCGAGACACTGTTGTCAAGCTTAAATTAGTTGACATTTTTGCACCTACCTTTAGGGGAAGTGTTGTAGACAGTAGCTTAATTTATTAGGACTTGTTACTGCCTAGTTTATTAGGGCTTATTAAATTTTCTTTTTTACCTTTTTCGCTTACCTTTATTCCAAGTCCCCCAGTCAACCAGGGCTATAAGGACTGCCTAGGCAAAACACGCAAAGACCTCATTGTCGCCACCATAGCCTACTCTCTCCTTGGCTGTCTGATCATGGGCATCTTTGCAAACCTCCCTCTGGCCCTAGCACCCGGTATGGGCTCAAACGCTTACTTTGCATACACAGTCGTTGGCTTTCATGGTTCTGGTGACATACCCTACAGAACTGCCCTAGCTGCCATTTTCATGGAAGGATTGTTGTTTTTGTTCATTTCGGCTGTCGGACTACGAGCCAAACTAGCTAAACTCGTACCCAAACCGGTTCGAATCTCGTCCTCGGCTGGAATAGGTCTATTCCTAGCTTTCATCGGACTACAGAATAATCAAGGTATTGGCTTAATAGGATACATTTCATCTACCCTAGTCACGTTAGCTGCCTGTCCAAGATTGTCTCAGGCGGCATTAGCCCCCGTTATCACTGGAATTAATGGTACCATCAGTTTATTACCTGGTGGTAACATATTGTTAGAGTATGTGTGGCTCATATTTTGCTATGTGCATAATGGCAAAGAGGCAGATGCCGGAGCGGGCGGAGCCCGCGACGGCATTTGCCTTGCGAGATTTATATATAGGGGACGCTGATAAGTTGGGGGTGCGGGGGCATCGCCCCCGCGGTACGGTATAGGGGTATTTTTGTAAATACGTCCATATTAGGGTTATATAAATACTTAAGATGTAACCCTACTTCAATAAGGAAATGAACAGCCGCTCGCTCTCGTGGATGTAGGCACATTGTCGAACCACGTAAATCTCTGTGTGTTATTTTCTCCTGCTTTCTTAATTATTTGATTCCTTACTATTCACCATAATTGCTGCACGATCACAACACATATCGAGTGATATATTGTGCTTGGATCATAGAATGCAGAGTCCTACATTTTGGCTTGGTGTTGTTGGTTTTATTTTAATTGCCTGGTGTTTAGTGAAGAACATTAAAGGTGCAATGATATACGGTATAGTACTGGTAACGGTGGTGTCGTGGTCCCGGCACACCCCGGTAACAGCCTTTCCTGATAATGAATCGGGTAATTTAGCTTACTATTACTTTAAGAAGGTGGTTGATGTGCATGTGGTTGAGAGTACGGGTGGGGCATTGAGTTTTAAGGGCATTTTGGGAGGCCTTGATCACATTTTTGTATGCTGATATACTTGATACCACAGGCACATTATATTCAATGGCTCGATTTGCAGGATTTTCAGATGCTAACGGTGGTTTTGAGGGTCAATATTTCGCTTTCATGTCCGATGCTGCATCAATTGTAGTGGGGCCATTGCTTGGTACATCACCAGTCACTGTATTTATTGAATCCTCCACAGGGATTAAAGAGCGTCAAGTGGGATGATATGAGGCAGGCCATTCCTGCGTTTGTGACCATGATATTGATGCCATTGACATATTCCATAGCTTATGGCCTTGTAGGTGGAATTGGAACCTATATTGTCTTGCATATTTGGGATTGGGGGCTTGTACTCTTGACAAAATTTGGAATTAATGGATCAATAAGCCAAGGGGTGGATGGAAATAATGATGGAGTTGGAGCCAATGAGGACCGACAAACGATTCCGTGAAATTTACTGGATGTACATCACTGTTTCAAGGTTGCAAAAGCAAGAGAGAGCATTCCTTGGATCTGTTTCACTTCTTATCAGTCCTATTGTCGTAATTTATGAGAGTTAGGAATATAAGACCCAAACAATCTGAAGCAATCAATTAGTTTCTTATACTATCTGAATTTAGAGAGTTTGGACTTGAATCAATGTCTAATGATCATCTATCCAAGTGATACACTCTGAATTCGAGTTTGAGAATCATCCTCTCAAAATGAGCCATTTACCTATCACAAATCTGCTATAAATGGGATTTTGTGCAATGGGTTTTGTTGTCTTATTGTCAACTCTCAGGGAGATCCAACATGTTTGCTTTATATTTTGGGTAAAACAGAAATCGATACAAAAATTTGGACTTAATTAAACTAAATTATAATAGGAAACACTATTTGGAAAAAAAGTGCATTTTTTAAGAAAATGACCAAAAGGTCATTCATTAAAAGAAATGAAGATCAAACCCTATTTGAATGTCAAACGACAATCTTCGTCTTTGGCATTTTTGAGATTCGAATAGATTTATGAACAGATTCTAAAGATAATATCGAAAGAACAAGCGATCCTATTTTCTTGTAACTGTTTGTGTAACTACACAACATTTTGGTTTAGTGTAATTGTTCTCAATCGTCGGAATCCTCGTCTCTAGATATTAAAGTTCACTTTCAGGGTTTCAGCCCCAATTTTTAATGGTTAGTTTTCAATTATTATTTTTTTTTTGCAATTTTTGTTTGGAAAAACCCAAACTAAAATTAAAAAACACAAATAATTCCAAATGAAAATAACAAAATTGAATTCTTTTATGTTGAATGAATAAATAATTTTAAATTTTAAAAAACACAAATTTTAAACAATTACACTAATTTTTTGTTTGTTGTAACAGTGTGGAATAACTTTATTTGAGATTCAAGGCATTTGATTCGTATATTTATTTTGGATAAATATTTGGTGCTACAATCGGCATTTTAATCGTCTAACAGTATGAGGTTTTTTTTTTAGTTAGTTTTTTTGTTTGATAAAATCCAAACTCATATTTTGTGAAATGAAAATAATAAAATCTGAAATCTTTTATGAAGAATGCATGTATATGAAATAGAAAAATCTTAAAATTCGATTATTAAACAGTTACACAGATATAACTGTTTATTTATAGATGGTTAACTATTTGGTACAACTCTTTTGATAACTATTTGCTACAACTCGTTGGTAACTTTATTTGTGTAACTGTTTATTCAAATTAAATTTTTACATATTTAAAAAGAAACTAAATTATCAATGGGAGAGAGAGTGAGGGAGTAACGGGGTAAATAAGTAAAATAAATAAAAGATAATTTAAATTTTATACCTAATCACAAGATGCTTTATTAAAACTAAAATTAATAGGGTAAACAATTTATTCATACATTTTCGTTCAAATAAGTTTTAAAAAATATACTCATACCCAAAAAACCCTTATATTTTTGAGAAATTTGGAGGCCGGCCCCCCTATATGAACTTATTTGAACTTCAATCCGCTAAGAAAATTTATTTGTTATAAAGTCATTTTTCGTTAATTTTATCAAACTATCATTTCCCTTTAGAAATGAAATAAAATTATAAATTATAAACTTCTAAATTATAGGAGATTGACTAATATTAAAAAAAATTCTCTCTCAGATCGTTTTAATCCGACGTACTACATTAACTCTTTTGAAATATTTTTGCTGCTCAAAATTTATAGTTTCTAAAATTTAATTCCCTCAAATCTTTTCCTAGAATTAAGCAAATATCTCTCTCTCATTCCTCTGTATCTCTCTCTCACACTCAAATCACGCTAAAAATATCATTTTTTCATAATATTTTTCTCTGTATTTCACGAAAAATATTAGATAGTGTCTAATTCAAACAAATACTATATCTCTTTATAGATAGATAATATATATCACACAGAGAGATAATATATTACGAAAATATTTCTCTGTATTTCTCTCTGAAGGAAAATTATGTAATAAATATTAGATAGATAGTATATATTACGAAAATATTTCTCTGTATCTCTCTCTCTTTCATTCAAGCAATACTACAAACACGAATCATACAAATTCAATAGTCAATATGATTTTTTCCATAATCAAAAAAAAAAATATAACTTACAAAAAATCTAATTTAACAAAGAAAATATGCTTAACATATAAAATATACAAGATTAAATTCAAGTTATTAGACAACTCAAATATCAAGAGATATATTGAAAAAAATATGCTTAACATTTAAAATATACAAGATTAAATTCATATACATACACAAATCATACAAATTCAATATTTAGTGAATAACACAAAACAAGAATATTTACTAAATAATCTAAATCTAAATACCCGAGAAAAATGATGCAAAATTACAAGCAAGAGACACAATACAAAATTATAAGTAATACTATGAACACGAATCATATAAATTCAATATTTAGTGAACAATATGAAGTAACAATCTTTACTAAATAATCTAATACTAAATAATATTTAATTTAAGAAAATATACTAAGAATATAAATAACCGAGAAAAATGATATAAAATTAAAAGCACTACTATAAACTCAAATCATATAAATTCAATAATCAATTTTGCTTTTTCGATAATCAATAAAAAAAAAAAGTATAACTTGCAAAAAATCTAATTTAACAAAAAAAATATGTTTAACATGCAAAATATACAATATTAAATTTAAATTATTAGACAACTCATATACCAAAAAATATATTAAATAAAATATATTTAACATTTAAAATATACAAGATTAAATTCATATACAAATACGAATCATACAAATTCAATATTTAATGAACAACATAGAGCAACAATCTTTACTAAATAATCAAATACTAAATAACATTTAACTTAAGAAAACATATTAGAAATATAAATAATCGAGAAGAATGATATAAAATTAAAAGCACTACTATAAACTCGAATCATACAAATTTAATAGTTAATTTTTTTTCCATAATCAATAAAAAAAAGTATAATTTGCAAAAAATCTAATTTATCAAAAAAAATATGTTTAACATGTAAAATATACAAGATTAAATTCAAGTTATTGGACAACTTAAATATCAAGAGATATATTAAAGAAAATATGTTTAATATTTTAAATATACAAGATTAAATTCATATAAAAACACGAATCATACAAATTCAATATTTAGTGAACAACACAAAACAACAATATTTACTAAATAATCTAAATCTAAATACCTGAGAAAAATGATAAAAAATTACAAGCGAGAAAAACAATACAAAATTATAAGTAATACTATGAACATAAATCATACAAATTCAATATTTAGTGAACAACATGAAACAACAATCTTTACTAAATAATCTAATACTAAATAACATTTTAGTTTAAAAAAATGTATTAAGAATATAAATAACTGAGAAGAATGATAAAAAATTAAAAGCACTACTATAAACTTAAATCATATAAATTCAATAATAGGGTCGTATCTTTTGGAAGTGGGTTGAATTTTTGATAGTTATATTTAGTCATTTGACAACATCTGTAGACTTAGTTGATTTGTGGGAGTATTATTTTAATTTTCATTCTATTAGTTATGAATTCTATTATTATTTAGATAAAGTTGATTATGAATATTAAAATCATAAATTTTGAATAAAAAATAGAACATTGAATATTGTCAACTGATATATTTTTTTAAATGTTTAAATTATTATATTTTAGTAGTTATAACATAATTTTCGTGGCATAACAATTTAATGTGGAAATATATGCTATGCATGTAGGTTGATGTTATAAAAAATATTAATAGACTCATTTTATTCGTCGTATACTACAATGTTGTATTTTACTTGAACAAATATTTATAACTAATTTACGAGTAACACCGTGTCTTTAGGTATGAACAATTGCTAGTATATATATAAAATATTTGACAAAAATAATAACATGCTTAACAAAAATAGTAACACGCTTAACAAAAACAAAATAGTAATATGGAGCATTGAACAAAATTAAAAATAAAAATAGTAGTATTCAAACCTATAACCAAATGAAGAAGCCTCCAATTCTTCAGCATCCAAAAAAATAACACTGAAAAAGTAATAACATGCTCAATAAAAAATAGTAACATGAAAAAATAATAGTGATATGTATTAGTGACTTACGTTTTCAAATTGATGTTACTGAACTGATGTTACTATGCTAATATCAAGTACTTGGCGTGCACTGCCCATGTTACTTTTTCAAAATCTCAAGATCGCACTCTAACTTCAACCTTCATTCCTTTCAAATTTGTCTCAAAGCTCGAACCGGTTATTTAAATATATAACAGATAAAATAATGGCTAAGAATTTGAATTTGAAGTATTATAGAAAGCTTGTAATTGACAATTACCATCATAAATCAAACATTTTTATATTCAATCATTAGTCTCCATATATAGTTCCTTCTAGATAATGTCTTCAACTGTCAATAACTGATCAAACTAATACTGTTAAGGGTATTTTTGAGATTAAAAAAAAATTGCACTTAACTTCTTACTAATAAGATTAAAAACGGATTTACCCCAAAATAAGTTTTTTGATATACTTAAGTCATTATAAGTTTATCTAGGAGGACTTAGCCCCAATTTTCACTATATTTTTCGGTTGAAAAGGGAGATATCATATTTCTCAAATTAACCCATAGAAACTGTTGGGCCCACCCTCAAAGTGGTATGGGCCCTCTGGCCCAGTTGGATCTTGGGACAAATATTGAAGCCCTCTTTTTAGTCCGCTGAAAAAAAATTTTGTTTTTAAGCTCTGTTAATCATGAAAACAATGCAAAACAGGCTAAGGAGGTTTAAGGTATGTCTTAGGAGACTTGACATTTCCATGTGGGTTTAAAGGGGTTGGTAATGGCTCCAATTTTTTTCAGGATTTATTATCCATGTTCTCAGTCTTTGCATTCTGGTCGGTCCAATCAGATTGAGAATACGTCTCTTGTGGCTTTCTTTCTCTGTCTTCCTTAGTGGCGGCTAAAGACTCGAAAAAGAGTGATTAAAAGTTGTTCTTTTTGGTTTGTTCTTTGTCTTACTTTGTGGTGGTTAAAGACTCGAAAAAGAGTGATCGGATGGTTCTTTTTGGTGGGCCGGGGGAGAGAGAAATCGGGGTGTCCATAAGGTTTGGATTAGGGGTTGGGGGAGGGGTGAGGTTGGTTCGATGGTATATCTTGTTTCTAGTCTCTCAATCATTTAACAAATAGGATTTCAGACTAATTTATCCCTCGTGTGCAAGTCACGTGCTTCAAGTCAAGTCGGTGAATAAATTAGACAAGGGTAAATTGTACAAGATCCCCTAGAACTTAGAATTATTGGCATATTAGGGCTCTCAACTATTTATATGAGCAATAAATTATTACTTGATTCTTTGCATCAAAGGTGCATGGCATGGACTGGTTTTCCTCTCTGGTGTTCTAAAAGAAATATTTCTTCTTTTTTTTTTTTTAACTGGTCTAAAAAATATTTCACAAATTTATAAAAAAAATCAAAAAGAATGGAATGGTACATGGAGTTATGAAAATTTTCAGGATATTTATCTCCTTTTATTTTAAAAGAAATCAAATATTATATTTCTGGTGGACCATATCATTTTGTTTTTTAAAAATTTGTTGTTAATAAGAACACTTGGATTGACATTGTTTCAACCACACACCCACCCTTTAAGCTGATGATTACGATGTATATTTTGAAACATATAATTTTAAGAATATGATTGTAAAAAAAGCAATTGTCATTAAAAAATAATATTTTACTTTGAGAAATCTTTAACATAATTTTTGTGCTTGGCTTACAAAGATAAAAAAAAAAAAAGGAAGAAGATATATGAAATAAAAGAAAAATAAAAAAAATTATAATGATGAAGAAGAAGAAGAAGAAGAAGAAGATTGTGAGAAAATAAGAAAAGAAGAAGATAGTGAGCAAATAAGGAAAAAGAGAGAATATATTGAGGAATCAAATGATAAATGATCACGACGTTCATAGGTACAACACAGCACATAATGTTTGGACTGTGGACCACGACAAGCACGTGGCCAGAGATGAGATGATATATAAGTGGGGTGAACTATTTGATAATGACCTGCAATTTGCATATCTACCACCTCACAGACTGTTTTTTAGTTTTAAATACCCTCAGTTACTATCCTCAAGTCTTTGTTTTTTTTTCCCGGTAGTGATATCCTGGAAGTTACTCTTCGTCCTTACGTACACACAAAAAGAGCCAAAACAACAGTTAGTATGTTGCAGTCTTTCTACACCTTTTAACACGCTCTGATCTCTTGTTTGAGGGGGACAGCTAATAGGACTAGTCGTTCGAGTACATAGCCACCATAGCTTCTAGGGTGACAGTGGTCTCCTTTCAATTGGACTTGACTACGGTAGGGTAGGATTCAATTTTTACCACTTTATTGCCTTTTTTTTTTATTTTTTATTTGTACTTTATTTTATAATTAAAATATTTATCATTAGATTGATTTATTATTTTTATTAATATTTTTATTATTATTGTGAATATTTTTATCACAATTATATTTATTATTTTTTTGAAATAATATAATTGTGATAAAAAAGACTTATAAATATAATAAAAATGATCACAAATATAATAAATGAAAGTACAATACAATTTTTTTTTTTATTTTTGAGTTCCGATAGTTAAATCCCCTTTTTTCTCTCTCTCTCTCTCTCTCTGAGTTTGGCACAAATCTGCTATGCGTAAATACCATTGAAAAGGGAAAAAGGAAAGAGATTAATAGCATTTCCAAAAATTATATTGTTACAGAGCTGCTGGTAGATATGCAATAGCATAAGATTAATTAAAAATTACACTTTTGAAGGAGGAGGAGCTAGCTTTGTGATTCACACACTTTCATCGATGTTAACAAACATCTCCGCAATGTAATCAATGATTGATCCCAAAAGGCAACTCCACTTTTAACTACCGCCAACCTCCCTCTCCGGTTGGTAAACCAACCCACTAAGCTGAGGCCTCACTTTATCTTTCCATATTTCCCGGCCAGGTGCAACACCAACACAAACACCACCCTCTCTCCTCCTTATATCCACCATAACCAGCTTCTCCGTTAACCGGTGAATCTCCACTACACCAACAAAATCACCACTCCGCCCCTCCAACCCCACCCCCAATATTTTCTGCCTCACCACCTTCAACCCCTCCCCTTTAACAACTTCCTTAATTCTTTCAATAATTCTCTCCGGTGAATCCGCCGATATGAACCGTTCACCACTAACCGACCCACCGGGAAAATTGAACAGCCCGGACAGATCAACACCAGACGATAATGAGATAATATCAAAAGCATTCAAGTACTTCTTATCACCATTAGCACAATCTTTGAGTTCAAAATCATGGTCAACCTGCTGGAATTGAAGTTCCTTGTAGTCTTGTTTGAACCATGGATCATTAGTCATCTCATCCACAGTGATACGCGTCTCTGGATTCGTATCCAGAAGTCGACACAAAAATCTGTTCAATTCAGGAGAGGTCCATTTGGGACACCGGAACTCGCCTTTGTAAATTTTCCTGTACATCACCATGAGGTTTGGGTCGTTAAATGGTAAATAACCGGCGTTCAACACATAAAGTATGATTCCGCATGACCATATATCCACCTTTGCTCCGTCATAACCTTTCTTTCTGAGAATTTCCGGCGCTACGTACGCCGGCGTACCACAAAGAGTGTGCAGGAGGCCATCGGGTCGGATCTGACCCGTCACGGCACTAAGTCCAAAATCGGTGAGCTTTAGGTCCCAATTCTCATCCAATAATAAGTTCTCTGGCTTCAGATCGCGGTGGAAAACGCCGCGAGAGTGGCAATACCCGACGGCAGCAATCAGTTGCTGGAAATATCGACGGCTTAGATCTTCGCTGAATCGTCCTTTGGCGACTTTTGCAAAAAGCTCGCCGCCCTTGGCGAATTCCATGACGAAGTAGATCTTGGTCTTTGTGGCAAGAACCTCATGGAGGCGTGCAATGTTAGGGTGGCGCAGCTGGCGCATGATAGAGATCTCACGTTCAATGTGTGCCGTGAGCCCTCCTTTGAACACCTTTTGCTTGCTAACCGCTTTGATCGCCACGCTCTGTCCCGTACGTAAGTTCCTGGCATGGTACACCTTTGCGAAAGCACCGCATCCGAGCTGCTTTCCGAGCTCGTACTTTCCGAACAGCTTGCTCCCCGCCGGTGACAATAGGTAGCCGGCGTCATCTACGAGCTCTGCCATCACTTGATCGGAAGACCTCACCTGTATCTTCTTGCTCAGAATAAGAAAACCGTCCGGTTTGCATTAAATTATCCAGCGAATGATATGAATAAAAAGATTTGATGTGCAAAATCTGATTATCTAGGAAATTAGAGAGGTCCACTGTATTAGAGTACTTTTCTGACAATTATGATTTTGAACAAGAACCAGATGTTGTGAAGATTAATCTGAGGAGAGGAACAAGATTTGAATGGGGAGAGAGAGAAAGAGAAAGAGAGATTGATTTTGGTTGAAGTGAAGAAAGAGAGGCAGGGTGGTTTTATTTATGATGCAGAATGGGAGAGGAGAGATGCGTTAGTTGGAGCAGAAGATCCAATTGGGCAGGGTCGGGTTTTTTTGTTTTGATATGGAGTTAATATGTTTATTTGGCAATTTCAACACGTTAAACTTTTTGATAGTGTCATGAGGACAAACAGTGACCGTCCAAGTGTCGACGTTTCTTGTGGAAGTCTGGTATTGTGTAATACATGGGATATATATTCTTTCATTTTTTTTATTTTTATTTTTTTCTTTTATCTTATCACTTAAGAAGGTATATAAAAAAATTAAACTAAATTATTAAATAGTAAAAATAATATTATAAATTTTTTTTTAAAAAAATAATCAATACTTAATTTGGAGTTGGGAGGTGATTACAAAAAATATATGGTTTAATGTGATTAGAGGAATACTTAATCTAATAATTAAAAAAAATTAAAATTCTAAAAAATTAGGAAGTATGGAGGGAAAACTTCTAAAGCTTTATTCCTTCTAATTTATTTGTTTTACATATAAAGATATGATGCATATGTGATTTCAGAGGTTTGGAGCTATGATTAATGACTATGTACTTTAACGTGCATAAGAGAATTTGTGTAATGAGTTGAAATAGTAATCCAATTAATGAATAAAGTTAGGAAAAGTGTAAGATAAACACCTAGATTATCTTTTTTGAAATTTAAGTCAATCGGTGTATAAGTGTATAAAATTTCAATGTAGAGTATTTTTAAATTGTGTACCTTTATTTTCGTGTGTATTTATATTTATGACTATTATGATGTCTTTCGCATCTGATTCATTAATGTCTTATTACTATCGTGTTTAGCTTAATGAGTGTAGGTGTCATATCTCCTTAATATGAGATGACCTGATGTCTGAGTCTAACTTGGCAGAGTGGACCACGCATTGATGACTCCATCTCGGCCATTATAAACATCTCAGTAACAAGTAATTAGGCTAGGGCAGAGTACCTTTAGACATGGCCCCGAATACTTCGCGGTTCTCCCAACTTCTAGATGACCACCCCCGTGTCAATAAGTTACTCAAAATTCAAGAACAATTCATTTATTGCTCGAGTACATCGTGGTCCTTAAGTTCGAGAAGTCTTGATTATCTGGATCCCCATGAATTGACACATGCCAATATTTAATTAGATGGTCGTCGATATCCGGTGATAATGTATTTGTGATTAATTTTTTGCGATTTGCCAGCAATGGTAATGTTATATAAATTTAAAAATTAAATTTATTATAATTATTAAATTTAATTTTTAAATTCATATAATATTACTTTTACCTATAAACTCTATGTTTACAACAGTCCAATTAACAATCGTCACATCAGCAAATAGAAAAATCATCAATAAACTTTCAGTAATGTTAAACTTATTAAATTTAGAGTTCAAATGATATGACAGTTGACTTGAATTTTTTTATTTGGTGTTATGTCATTTGAGTTCCAATAAAAATTCTAAATAATTAACTGTCATGTCACCTGTAATCTAAATTTAATTTCAAAATTTAGTTAACATAACATTACCGATAAATTTTTCATTATCTCTTTTCTTTCGCTTTTACTTTGTTACTCTTGCCCTTTCTACTTCGCCAACATGCGCACCGACTGACACTCGTCCCCCCCCCCCCCCCCCCCTTCTTCCTTCTCTCCCTGTTTGGTTTTCTCTCTGTTGGGTGCGACATTAGCAATGGTGCGATTTGTGTGGTGGGTCTGCAGGAGGTGAAAGGTATGTGGGTGAAGTTAGACTGCAAATAATGGGTTGAGTCAGGAGTGGTGAGCGGTGCCGAAAATGGGTGGGTCGTGAGGTTCGACAGCTTAGTGCTAATGTGAGTGTTGGAGCTTGAATTTTTTGCTTATGGCAGTCTGTAGGTGTGCTTTAGTTAGTTTAATCTCAATATCTAATACCCGGGTGGGGTTGCTTCAGTAGGTTTCATACAAGAATCACCTTAATTTGAAGCTTTTTGGGGGTGGTAGTGTCATCACAGAAAACTGATCTTCCTCGAAATTTCTTAGATGCTTAGATGTAGGTGGAGAGCCCATGTATGATAATAACTATTCATATACGTAGCCTGATTTTTTTTTTTTTTTAAAAGATTTTAGATCTGATTTTTTTTCCTCTTTGAACTTAAGTTTCATGTTTGTAATATGTAAAGCTTGTGATTTATGTGGGGCTTGGATGGAATTTCAGTGGCGTCCATTGGGGAAGATGAGGTAAAGCAACGCGCTGAAGGTGGTTGCTGAGGTACGGTTTTTTACAATTTAGTGTGAATTTATTGGTTTGGTGGCACTTTCGTTGACGTGTTTGTTATTGATTGATTATTTGTAAAATTGGGAATTTACGGTAGTCTCGCCGCCGCCCCTAAAGAATTCAATCCCAATGTAAAAGGATGAACAATGTCTGACTTGCCTGTGCGCTGTTTATTCCGTAAATTTCCGTGCGCGTGTTCTTCAACTAATTTATTTGCGGTCAAAGTAGTACGATGGGTGTCGGTCTCGGTGTGAGCCGAGTGCTGGATGGTTGATGATAAGGCTGATAAGTTTTATCAAAACTAGTGGTTATTAATATAGTTTTTTTTGTTGCGTTGGCAACTTATGTGGAAGTTAGGGCAGGAATAAGACTATTCGAACCCAACTTCTGTGTCTGTGTGTCCATCGACCACATGGTGGATCAGAAATGAATACTTGTTGAAAAGGGAATCAAATCCCTTATAACCACGCCTCAATTGAATGTAGATATTTATATATAAGATGAATGTATTGAATTGAAATTGTTTATTAATGTACAGTTGTTTTTAAATAAATTTACCAATTTATGATAATTTTGAATTTATTTATTAATTTATGATACTTTTTTGAAAGCGCAATAAATTCACTTTTAAAAAGACTTTATCAGAATTTTAAAAAATAGGGTAGTTGAACGCTTTTAAAAAGTGTCGTAATAAATAAAAGAAGAAAATTATCATAAATTAGTAAATAAGTTCAAAATTATCATAGAACGATAAATTTGTTTAAAAATAATTGAACATTGTTAAATAATTATATTGAAATGTGCACGGCTGTATTAATTATTCTATCTTTTGGTGAGCAGATATGAAAGGAAGAAATTAGATAATGAAATTAAAATCTGCAGATGCAAGTGTTAATGAGAGGCCTGTCTGTCTCGATCACTGGCATCTGTTCAGCAACGTAGGAAGCTTACTTCCTAACTTGTGTCCACACACTGTATCCGCCAGGAAATTAATATGAAGCTTCCTTCTTCGTCTTCGTCCACCTCAACCTCAACCTCAACGTGTTTGCGGCCGGGTTCACACCTAAATAATTATCTAGGAGAATATTTTCATTAATTCTTGACAATGAAATTAATAATAAGTATCAAACAATAGTTTTAAGAAAGAAATACCTATTATTTTCTATGTAATAATAAGTTATAAGTATCTATTAATTGTTGATAGTATACTATATGTAGGAGAATAGCAAAGGGGGAGTTTTGGTTCCTAAGGCGTATCCCAGTCCCAGTCCCAGTCCCTGTAGATGGATTAATCTGGGGATAAAGAGACTGAAAGTATATACCTACTTCAATTCACTTGGCTATTAAACTATCGTACGTGTATGCTTAAAAGTAACAACAGCAGCTAGCAGAACACTTCCAACTTGCATTCTAATACAAATTTCCCTGTGGGGTGTGGATTTCGTGTGATTGCTGTCTAAAGCCTCAACTTAGACACTACGTAAAGAACACAGCCAATGTGAAATGTATCTAGTTACACAGAGATGAGCTGATTTTGACAATACGACCTAGATGGTATGTCTTACCCTCTGCACCTCACTTTTGAGGTTGAGCAATTATCTCATGGTTGCTGTCTCACAAGAAAAAAACAAACACAAACATGTCAGGATGCTTTCAATGAAAAAGATGGGGTGTTTTGCAGTTGATTTTACGTGTTATAAATTTGTACTGTAATCCCACCTCCCACAAATACACGTATGATTGAGATAACCAACGAGATAATGCATAAAAAATTTATTAATTATTAATATAATGTTATGTTTTTATCAAATAATCATATCATACGATAATAATAATAAAAATATGTAGTGTCACTGTTATGCTCAATATTTTATCATAAAGCAAGCCCAATATTTTATCATAAAGCAAGCGGTGGTTCCCACATTGCACAAAAAAGTTAAAGTGCTAGAGAGTGCTCCTAGTTGTTGATGTTGGGTGATGAGTAATCCAATATTTGGTCATAATGGAAAGATAAGCACGATGTCCAATCAGTAGCCAAATATATAGTGAATTATGTGACTTTTCTACAACCAAATGTGGAATATATTCAATTTTTCAAGAATCAACATAATGTAGTTGAAATATTAAAGATTAAAAATAAAACAAATTCTATACTTTAAGAATCTCTAATATAATAAACCTTTCTTTTATATTGGATTATGTATTTTTTTTTTTTGTTCTCTCTATCTCTCTCTCTTTTAGTTTTTGGTTCTTATCTTTAGAATCCAATTGAGTTTGCTACAATTTTTGTGGCTTCTAGAGACTTTGTATTTGGGCTCTTGGTGAGCTAATGTAACCTTACCACCGATTAAAATTAGGGCAGGGCGGTGGCGGTGGTGGTGACAGCAGCGGTGACGAAGGGTTACGTTACGCCCACCGCCACACCACAACCACCACCCCC